CCCATTGAACCATCTGAAAAGTTCATTCTCATAGTCTGAAATTAGTACTTCTGTTTATTTTTGTTCTGACTCAATCTGTAGGCTCATGTCCTACTATTCACTGTAGACTCAAACTTTACTGAGTTTCTGTAAGTAAATTGTGAGGCATGGTGGGATGGCTTAGAGTACCACCATGTGTGCTTTTGTCCTGGAGATTCCTTAGTGCGTTGCACAGAAGGAACTTCTTTCAGAAGCCCCAACATAGGAAGTCAGGTCCATGATGAGTGTGGTGGAGGATGAGTAAAATGACTTTGGTGTTCTGATCACTAACAATATTTAAGGAAGACCCAAGGACAGCATGTTCTGTCTCCATCTGAAGGTAATGTCCTCCGCTTGTCCTGCTCATTGGGCACTTATCCTAGGATTTTGATTGTATCTGTTTTGCCCCAGGTCTTCACTGGCACCAGGATAACCAGATGGGCCAGAAATTTTCATGATTTATGACTCTTGATTTATATTTCTTTCTCCAGTTATGTTTCTGGCTCTGTATGTTGTCAAGATCTTTCATTTTTCCCCCTGATGAATTTTTAATGGCACAATTGTTTTCCCTAGTGAAGCATTTTCCCTCTTTTGCCACCACTGCTAACACATTTGACAGTTACAAAGAGCACCCAGAGAAGGTGACCAGCATTCCATTTCAATTAACACTACAGATTTGCTGAGAAATACTTGCAATGACATCAGGATTTGCAGATAATCCCAATGGGACTTAACACTTTGGAAAAAAAATGGTTTATAGCTTATCTAGAAAAAGATCTTGGGAGGAAGCACGTAGGATTAACTGGAAATTGAGTACAATTAATAACTCACAAGTCATTCTTTAAATTGCTGACTCTGAGGTACTCATTTAAGTGACAAAACTCACTGGGCAGAGACACATCTACTCAGCCTTGGATTCTCTGTGCCTAGCTTGGGGCCTGGTACATAATCAATGTGAAATAAACACTAGTTGATTAGTAAGTGAATGAATCAATAAGATGATTATATAATATCAACATGTTATGATCCAGTCCAAAGGAACTCTCCATGTTTCACAGCAGAGAAGGTTATCTTTGGACTCATTAACCATTGTTACTTCCTAAAGATATTGACTGAGTATAAAACAGGAATGTTCATGAAAGGTATTATGGTTTGGAAGTGAAGTATCTTTCCAAAAGTATAAAAATAAAATACCCAGGCTGGCCAAAGGGATCCCCAGATAGTAACCCAGCATAGAACTGGGAAAATGAACAGCAGACCCCAATCTTATCTAAAGGAATATTGACAACTGATTTCTGCTAGATGAGAAACAGCTGACCTTCCTAAAACAAAGACCTCTAGATAGGCTGACTAGATTCACCAGAAGGGCAAGTAATGGGGAGTGGCTGGGGTGCCAACAACACAGCATAAAGTAGCAGGGATATCAGAGTATAAGGGCTCTAGTGGGGGGAGGGAGGCTATGGGAGGGTGCCATCTGGGAAGTGGGTGTATAGTTGAATAAGATGGTTTGGG